CAATCTCACTAATCAAGAAATCTTCATCACTATAATTATCATATTGTATTACCGCTAATTTGCAATGTCGAATAAATCTTTTTCATAAGAACAAAACCACTCAATCAAAAAATATTTCACGAAAAATACTGCAATGGGTTGTTGGGAGTTTTAAATCAGTAACAAACTTTGCGTTACGAAAAAAAAAATTGTAACTGTACCGTTGGAATTTTTACGATTTACTTTACTGTACAAAAAAAGAAAGAAATACCACCAAACAAAATGCTTTTCCTTACAAATCCCAAATTCTTCCTTTCGGAAATCTCAGTTTCATTCATTCGAAAATTTTGTAATATAAATATATTGAAGGAAATGCCTGTTTACTGCAGAAATCTATGCTACAAAACTCATTTATCTGAAGTATTTTAAATAAAATGATTATTTGCCACTTAGCACTGACTGTTTACTTAATATCTCGACTCACAATACTCAAGGAAATTATAAATGATTAGCTTCATTTATCAAATCAGATTTATTTGTTTATTGTAAGTTTTGTCTATCAAATAATTATGAATCCCTTTCTCTCTTTCTCTTTTCTTAGCTACTATTCCAAAGATTGTCCTTGTGATCAACAAATACAAGAGAATAATTTAGTGATCGACTTTACCACTTATAATTTCTGACATTCTGAACTACTTTTGATAATTTCTTACTCTTGATGATATATAAGAAAACTTTTCATCAAATAATAAATTTTATTCGACTGCACCACAAATCTCTCGCAAAAAAAAAACTTTTACACTAAAAAATATTCAATTTCGAATAAAAATATAGCAAAAAAAAAACTTTAAGTCATATGATAGGTCACATCACATAATTTCATCATATTAGTTTCAAAAGCATTGTTTTTAAAAAGACTGAGGAATAAAAAAGTCAAATTTCAAGTCAGTGGTCATATAAATGATAATTGCAATAAGAAGTCTAAAATTAATGTAATACAATTCTTTCAACAATAATAATATTAAAAAAATTAATTCAAGTAGTCTATAAATATCATCTAAATAAATGAAGCGTAATATTTTGTTAAATGAAAAGCATTTCTTAAAAAATCAAATTGATTGGAATAATTTAAAATGAGATCATGATCATACTTATCATCATAATTGAGGAAAAAATTATTCAAATCTTGAAGGAGAGAATGCATACTGAATGTCAAATATAAAAAAGCAAAAAAAAAAAGAATCGAAACGAAAGATTTTAACAGTTCTTGTCTAATCCATTTCTTTTAATAATTTGCTAGAAATGAAAGAAGATAGGCATAGATTTTTACATGAAAATTTATTCAATCCATTAGTCTCACTTTGAAGTTGCTTCATGAATCATAATACTATCATAATACGTCATTCCTCGTTATCATCATATCAAGATCAATCCTTAAATTTTAGTAATTCAAATAAACTTTATCAATTTATCTTTTCCATTTATTAAACGATTAACTGTAACAGATTAACTGTAAAAATTTCAGTACTCAAATGAGCTGTTCATAAATTTTTTTTTGAAACACCATAAATTCATCAAAATTTTTGTCTTTGATTATTTATTTTTGCAGAATGTAATAAAATAGCTCATTTAAAGTATAATGAGAGAAGAGAAGAAAACGAAAAAAAAAGCAAGTTGAATTGTTTTAAATAGAAGTAGAAAAAGTGATAAAATAATGAACGAAAATGAACCTCAATTCAAGCGGAAGCTCATCAGAATCTACAAAATTCAATCGATGCCGTATGACGGCAATTGCTGCAAGATCCTTCAATGTCCAATCTAAAAAAAATCTATTTTTACATAAAAATTCAAGTTTTACAACAATAAAAATGTCATCAAGTAAAAAAAATTTTTTTTTTTTTGTACAATATTCTTCTCTCGCGTTTTCTTCTATCTGCAAAATAATAATAAAATTATTTTAAAACTAACTATGATTCAAAACATTAAGATCACACATTTCTATCAAACATCCGAAACCAATATATTCAGTAAATGAAATAATGGAACTAAAAAATAACAATAGCATTAGGATATTTTTCGACATAGAAAAAATTAGTAATAATCTAAAAGTATGCATTTCAAATTTTAATTCGTACATTATAGAGAAGTTTTAAACAGATATTGTAAATATAATTGATATGCATCAGTGTTTATTGCGCATCTTTCTATTGCTTAATTTTTCCACTATTGTGCATCTTTTTACTAATTAATTATATAGAGTATAATTAATTTCAAAAATTTCTTCTACCACTTTTTCTATCAAACATTTGTGAAATATTTTCCTCTCAATATTTAATAATTAATTAGTTAATTTTTTAACTAATCGTTTATGATTAAAATTTGTGCATTGCACATGATTGTATACAATACATATGGTATTTATCAAGAAATAATTTATGCTGCAATAAATCAAACAAAAGTGAAATTTTTTATGAATCAAAAATCCTCACGATAAACCACTAAATACGTAAGCACAATCGCCAACTAAAACTCCGCAATGGCGTTCTCGACTCATTGGACCGTTTAAACCAAATGGCTCAATTTTACACCATATTAATGTTTCAGGATCAAATCGATGTAGTGTGGCTATATAACGTTCATCTCTATTTCGGCAACCACCAAATATATACATTTTTTTGTTGTGAACCCCTGTAAATCATTACCATATCCCGGTCATTCATTCAAATTTTTTCAAGTTATTAATTACAATATCATCTACATGCATCGAAATATTTAATTCCTAAAATGATCAACAAAAAAAAAAAAATATTTCCGTCTTATTGATCACTTCAATGATTAAATACATGAATTAAAATTTTTTTCAAAATCTCTTTCTATTGATTATTTCAAAAATTCAATACATTTATATATAACTAAAAGTGGGAGTTTTTTTTTTAAGAAAAAAAAATTGAAATGACATCAAATTGATAGACTATAAAAACTATATGATGAAATGATTGACATATTGTCAAACGTATCAAATTTAAAACAAACAAGAACAGGCTGCTCGTACTCCATTTGGCCTCTGACCTCTCGTATTTGGCCTTTCCCAATGACCTTGGTTCAAATTCAACACATCTAAATATAATTCCCTGCGATTTGCATCAACTCCACCATATACATACATTTTATCGTCGATTACACATGCTGTGTGTTGAAATCGTTCGCGTGGTATTTGACCCTACATAATTTTTTTTTTTTCATTTCTATTTCTAATAGAATTTCATAATTTACAAATTTAGAAAAACTGCAAAATTTTGCAACATACTGTCACATTTGGCATAATTTCAATTTTCGCATATCAAAATATTAAAATAAAACAGTAACTTACATGCACATTTATATTATACCATCTTCTTGTCTTAAAATAATATGCCCAAACATCATTCCATAAACTAATATAAGAATTGTTTAGATCAGTGATATTTTTTCTTAGTATCATTAAATGTTCCTTGGCAAAAAATTTTTTAAAAAGGTAAACTTTTTTTACACTTCATTACTAGACTTTTTTTTTTTTTTTTTTGAAAGAACGAAGGATGAAAATAAAATTTTCTCCTAACATATTATAATCATTTTTAATTAATTACATTGTATGATTATTTACTGAATCATTTTCCATACCACCATAAATAAACATCATACTATCGTATACAATAGCAGTATGCTTTGCACGTCCAGATGGCGTTCTACTAGCAGTTGGAATTACTGACCAAGTTTTTTGTTCTGCAGAAAAAAAAGGGATAATTAAATTTGAAACAAGTAATTAGTTCAAAATTGAATTCAAAATTTTATTCCATACATTCATCATATGTTTTTCATGTACACATGCATGATTATCATTTGTCTCGATTTTTTTTATTAAAAAGCACTCTCCTTAATTCATTCAAAAATTAAATCTTAAAAAACGCAGTCATTGTCATTTTGTTTTTTTTTTCAAATATCAAATAATTAATTACTAATTAAACCAACTCCAAAAATTTTTTTTTTCAACGAAATTTCTTTCACAGTAATATTTACAAAAATTATATATACAAGCAAAAAAAAAAAGAAATTACCAGGATCAAAGCAGTATATTTTTGAACACATAATATTTGTGATCGGACAATATCCGCCCCACATATATGCTTTTCCCTGATATGCTACCACGGTATGGCCAACTCGCATAGATGGCATTTCACCGTCTGGCTCATATGCAATTCCTAATTCATCAATTAATTGCTCTGAAGGATTTGGTTCGAACGGTATTGCTGGTACAAATTTCCAACGATAATCAACTAAAATTTAAAAATTACTTTAAAAATTTTTTTTAAAAAAAAAAAAACAAAACAAAGATGAAAAATTGTAATTTAAAATGGTAACAAAAAGAAAAATCCCATGAA